AATAAAGGATGGATAACAAAACACGAAGCTTTAGGCCCATCTAGCGAAGTAAAAAGCACATTGCACAGAAAATCTAAAGACTTCCTGCATCCTTAAAACTCATAATGACCCTTTTTGGGTGTCAGCGAGCCTCCCCGGTAAAAGCTAGCTGACCAGGCCCCGATAGGACTTTGTTTTGAAGGAAGCGAATCCAAATCGGAGTGGCAGGGATAAGTACCTACCGACTACGAGTCAAATCAACAGACGAAATCAAGCAGAATATAGATGGGGCCAGGTTACAATGAGGTAATTGAATGATACTAACGTAACCCTGATGAAGAGACTCGCTGAAGTAACGTTAATAGGCATGATCATGGTCAGTAGTAACAAAACAAAAATAAATTGAAGATAACGGCCTCTTTTAAATCTATGTAACCGACTCTCAAGACATGAGCAAAAAGATGTCAAATAACATCAGCGACGACTATGTAAGCAGCAGCAGTAACCGCGACACAATGCAACATCACCAGTAGTAGACCCACATGCATCGTAGTTACCAGAGATGAACTGAAAAAGACTAACGACAGAAAACACTATCGAGAAAAAAGCCGAGTAAGCTCAACCCGTTTCAACTTAGTACTGAAGCATCGCGCATCCTTTGATAAGATGATATCTCTGGGCAACAGCTGAAACCATCGAGCGCATCTACAGAAGATGTTATTGTACATCCTAGATGAATTACGATTAATGGCTCCATAATGAAAATTAAAGCCTCCTAATCTCTCACTAGTTGGTACGAATATCCAGTACTTGCTTGCCATCAATCTGTATTCTTTCTTAAGCTCTCGAAAGCAAAAAACTAAATCAGCAATATTACGACGACAAATAAGGCTTTGTAAATTGAACTTTTTCAATCGAGCTTCATAATTCGGAGGTCTGTTGCTAGGAGAGAGGCGAATACACAAGAGACGAGTAAAAGTTTTTTGCACCTGTTCCAGCTTTGCAATTTCTTTTTTACGTGTAGGATTCTAGACCTGGGAACAATATTCAAGATGAGGTCGAACAAGTGCTTTGTACAAACGCGTCAAAATAACCGGTGATTTGCTTTTGACAGTACGGAGCAGTAGAAACAAGGACGAATAAGCTTTCCTAACAGCAGCATCAACATGTTCCGAAAACCTTAGCTTTGAATCAATAATAACCCCCAAATCCCTAGCAGAGCAACACGACCTCAATGGAACCCCATTCACTGAGTAGGTTCCGGCTATGCAGTTACCCATATGCAGTACACAACTCTTGCTCAGATTTGAAGTCAAGCTCCATTGCGAAGCCTATTCAACTAAGGTCTCCAGTGACGCTGTAGGGCAGATTGCACTTCAAAACAGTTGGTAGCAGTATAGACTCCATAAATTTTTATGTCGTCAGCATACATCCGTACCTCTATATCCTGAGTGGCTTTAAGTAACGATGGAAGATCTAATGTGTATATGAGAAACAATGTGGGTGATAACACTCCTTCCTGAGGCACTCCGCTATCACATCGGTATGCATCCGAAAACTTGTAATGAACCTTGACTGTCATAAAGCGGTCTTGCAAGTAGGAACAAAACCATTAAAGAAGTGATACACCCACTCCAATAGCTTCTAGTTTACTGATTAGTTTCGCATGGGAGGCTTTATCGAATGCTTTTGAAAGATCAATATAAAGCACATCCAAAGACTTCTTTCGACTAAGAGCAAGATTCCAGTCAAAGATGCAATCAACTAGATTGGTTGTTGTAGAGGCTCCACTGACAAAACCATGCTGCTCTGCAGAGATTAGGTTGGACTTGCTGACCCATGTTAAAAGTTTATCTTTAATAATTCTCTCCATAATCTTGGCAGGTGCCGGTAAAAAGCTTATAAGACGAAAGTCACTGATAAGCTTGGCCCTCTAGACTTTTGGGATCGCTGTCACAAGTGCCTGCTTCCACAACCCCGGTACCTCTCCCAACAACATAGAAATGTTGAAAATATGCGCCAACGGGGCAGCCAAAGAAGTGCACATTTCTTATAAATGATCTGTGGAACCCCATCGTAGGTCTCAGTTGTTGAGGCTTTCAATTTCTGCAGAAAACGATATACAACAGAAGGCTCGAAAAATAGAGTAGAGAATGTTTGGCGGCGACACCGCAAAACATCAGGTCCAGGAACCACAACATTGTTGCCGGAATCAGATGTAAAAACACTAGCAAAATATGAGCCAAGGATTTTGGCCTTATCCTCATCACTTAAGAAGGTGGCCCCATTTTTATCCAACAATGTTGGAAGGTTGGCGCTAGGCTTCATTCTGGCTCTGACGTAATGAAATAGACTCTTAGATGATGATTTGAGCGCAAGACGACTTTCACGATTAGCTATAAACTTTCGGAAGTGAAACTTTATATCAGAGCACACTTTCTTGTAAAAACAATTGTTCAGAGGATCATGCACTTTTTCAAACAGGTAATATTTCTGCTGGTTCAACCTTTGTGTGTGAGGCGGTGCATTTGATGCAACAGTATGCGGAGGTTTGATAGAGGCGAACATGCCAAGTGCATGATAAAGTATCTTACAAAACCTTTTATAAACGTCAGAGCACGATTCATAACTATCAAATTCTGAGAGCCAATCTATAGCAAGATAATCATTCAATGCAGTATAATCAACATTATGATAATCCGGCAAGGGTGGCAACGATGCTGAGGGGGCACTAAGCACTTCAAAGTAAACGATCCCATGGTCCGAAGAGCCAAGTGGTGGGAGAACATCAACATTAGATATTTCAACAGCAGAGGAAAGAACAAGATCAAGGGCAAAGCTACCATGAGTAGGAGAGGTGACATATTGATGGAGACCAGAAACAGCAAAATAATCCAGGAAAGAGGCAGAAGCGCTATCGCAAGGTCTTCTGACAGTCCAGTCAATTTGAAGGTTAAAATCACCAAGAAGCACTGTTTCATCACAATCAGAGGCATATGCATATGCGCTCAAAACATCGATAAGCTTATCGTCATCCATTTTACAAGAGTTAGGTGGGCGATATACCAAGATGAAACGCAAGCGCATAAGTAAGAGCGGATGGGCAATGTTTACAATGAGCAAATCGGCTAACAAGTTTTCACTAAGCTTGGTGCAGTTGGAGAGTAGGAGCCCCTTCACAAGGCAACAAACACCTCCACCCCTGTAATTACATCTGTCACTTCTGAACGAAACATAGGGCAAATTACCAATAATTTCAGAATCAAGAATCTTTGCATTCAACCAAGATTCAGCCACGAATAATATGTCTGGTTTATTTTCGGAAATAAAAAACTGCAAAAGATCCAACTTGGCTTCTCGCATTGAGCAAAAAAATTTTCAATGCCCCAGCATTACCATGCGCGTTCACATGTTTCCCGCTTCCCTGCGAGGATGCTGTGAAACATGGACTACCTCATCCCGGTATACCACCCCCTGTTTGGTAGCGCTACCCTTATTGCGTTCACGAGCAAGTTGCCTTAGCTCGTAATTCCTTGCTCTCTCTTCTGCTATCATGCTTTTCCTTAAATATTAAGAAAACCATGACTCTTAAGCATATAAGCATTAGAGAGCGCAGTCCGCCAATAATGCCGTGCGCGAAACCTACCTTAACTAACCTGGGTCGTGAAGCGTTCGGCTTACCCAGTCGATAAAGTTCTGTAGGTCGGCATTCCACTTTGAGAGTGTCCAACACCGCCACGACAGCACACTCTAGCTGAGCGCAGCGCTCGTGGAACGGTAGGTCACTACTCGACTCCGAAATGCCGCTAATAACTATGCTGCGTGAGCGTTTCTCCGCTTCAATGTCAGCCAAGGCGGTCATCGGGATTTTTTCTCTGACAGCAGAGAAAGAAGTTTATCGATGATCGGGTCACAATTCCTTTCCTTTATGCTGGCAATTATATTTGCCACAGACATAGAAGAAGTATCTAAATCGCAGGTCTGGCTACCTACGTCAACATTCTTCGAACATGTCTGTGAGCCAGCTGCATTCTTCCTAACACGCTCGCTCTTAGGACCCATGTTAAAAATGTTGTGATCTGGATTATCAATAGCAACCGATAGGACGCGGCAACCACAAGCGAAACGCAAAAAATCGATCGAGAAAGAAAATTCAGCACAAAGCGAAGTGATAATCAAAAATGAGCGATGTGTTTGGAAGAATACAAAGAAGGACAAGGAAGGAGACGAATGATAGAAAAAAACAGCCAAAAAACTACAAAAAAATGATAACTGGCAGAGGAAATCGAAACCCGACCGCTCGGGGTGACAGCGCAACACAAAATTTTTTACTCTTTTTATTTGTTAGCTAACAAAAGAAGATGTTTGGTCGATGTGTCCTTTTTGAATAGGATGTATACGTTGCAAGCGCATAAAAACGCTGGTTCCAAATTTGGCCTCCTTATCCGCGGAATGATTGCGGACGAGGAGTTATGAAGCGTTAACTGAAGCAAAAAATCAAATATGCGTTTAGGATAAAATGATAAGATCTTATCAGCCTCAGTTAAGGCAACCAATTGAAATTCTATCTTAGAGTATTTATCAAATAAAGTGTACTGCTTCATTAAAGCGCTATTAAGAATATTGTTGACTTACTTACATACTCAATTTTCTGTTCCAATAAACGCTCACAACTCCTCGTCCATAATACACCGCAGATAACGAAGACATTGGAATTAGCGTTTTCTCTCGATATAGTACACATCCCATCTGAAATGACCACTTCGATTGGACGTGCTTCCTTTGTAAGTGGGAAAACCAGTCTTTTTCAAAGCGTCAATATAATTATTGTAATGGCTTGTCAATTGTTGCATGATTCCATTTAGTGAAAGACGAATGCTTAAACAAGTACAAACTTGGTTTAAAACTTTCTATAAAATTTCAGACTGTTATGTTGCAGCTCGCTGGATGATTTGGCTGGGCAGTACAAAATTAAATATGCGCCACACAAAGGAAGCCCAGCTGAGGCATACTTCAAACAAATGGCTGAGATCGAAGGGAGATTTCATAAGTTAGCAGCTTATGTTTTCAATATATTTTCATGGAGAACTACACTTCCAGCATTTGGAAAAAAATGTCAATGAACAAAAGTTTAAGCCGGATGGATCGTGCTCGAATGGCGGTTTGGGACTACCCGATTGCTAACAAGTTCACAAACATATGGAGGTATGCTTTTTTAGAATAGCTGTTGATACCTTAGCTCCATTTTGGAAGCCACAAACTTTGGAATTTCCATACCTTATATTGTACCTGTGAAGAATTGGACATCGTTTCTATTAGGTTGTCCCATAAGTCTTTTCATTTTTGAGTTTTCGCTATAATAAGTCACACAGTTCTAATTCTAAATAGACATCAAGATATCATTCGATAGAGCAAAGCAATCTCTATAAGATGGTGTTTATGCTTTTGCACAAGCTTGGTCCATCTCGAGTTTTAAGCCAAAATCTAAAAAGTTTCGGATGGCCAGAAAACCGAAAAAATTTTATATCTTCGTTCAAAAAAATCCTACAAATCTCTAATTCGCTCACGCATATACATTCCACATCAGACAATCATATGTGATGTTGCTGTATCTTTTTATCAGCTAGAAATCAAGAAGCCAAAAATTTCCATGTTTTCCATGTTTTTACCAGAGTAATGCTGTGCTGTTCTTACACCAACATTTGTGTACTAGAAGCCCTTAAAAGTACTACCGTAGATTTTTGGCTCTCTACATGCTCTGGTTTACGAGAAATATCAAACTTAGCTTTCTTTACTTGGGTTTTTCACCTTAAATCAACATTTCTCGGAAACCAGAGCTTATAGAGGGCTAAAAATTTACAATTGTACTTCTAAGGGCTTGAAGTATACAACTGTTAGTGTAAGAACAGCACATGATCACTTTGGTAAAAACATGGAAATTTTCGGTTTCTTGATTCCCAGCTGATAAAAAAATACAGCAACAGCACTTATGAATGTCTGATGTGAAACGTATTTGCGTGAGCGAGTTAGAGATTCGTAGGATTTTTTTGAACAAAAATATAAAAAATTTCCGGTTTTTTGGCCATCCGAAACTTCTTAGATTTCGGTTTCGAGCTTGAGGTGAATTGAAGCTAGTGCAAAGATATAAACGCCATCTTATAGAGCTTGCTTTGCTCTATCGAATGCTATCCTGATGTCTATTTAGAATAAGAAGTGTGTGACTTATTATAGCGAAAACTCAAAAATGAAAAGACTTATGGGACAACTTAATGCATGGTGAAAGGAATTACGGCGGTACAGATTCTTAAAGAGAAAAATTTTGTTGAACTGCTAAACGCCTTGCAAGTAAAGTGTGCGCAAAAAAGAAGAACGCGTGCTTTGTCATGTTGAATAGAGACCGGTAGGTCAAAGTTTTGGATAAGGATGTGTAAAAAGGTCAAATTATATAGTCAGTAACAAGGTGACTTTTTTACTAGTTTGGAAATTAAGTTTTGCAATTCATTCAATAACATTTCTCTCCCTTAACATAACGCACTCAAATTTTGTGACTATGTTGGCTATGACGTAAGCCTGAAGAGTAGTTGCTGTTCTGCCAAATTCTGACGTCACTATGGGAGTTACGTTAGGGTCTCCGGTACAAAGCAAAGAATTATAAATTTGACAGGTTTGGCTGAAAAGAGGCGTTGATTTAACAAATGACTATGATATTCATGTTTGGTAGGTCAAATAACCTCACTATGTGAAGTGTCGGCGAATTTTGGAGTTTTGACTCTTTAGTCATTGACTGTTGTCAACAGCAGCCTTGCGTACACTTTTTGAGGGCGCCAAATCTCGACATACCCTTGCGTTTTAGTTTTTTTCCTACTAAGCCAAATGAGTCAACCTCTAGCAACAAAGTCTATACGATTTCGATTATTGCGCATGTTCTAGGCTGCTAACGGCTTCATTTCGGCTTATAACCCCAAAAATTCTCAAAATTCACTTTTCCGAAAAAAGGCTGTAATTTTTCTAATTCGTGTGTGACAGTGGCTACCCAGGATTTCCGTTCGGAGGGGAGGGGGACAGAAAATTCTTTCAGATGAAGTTGCGTGGCGTTAGCCACGCACTTCAAAAAAAATTTTGGGATGCTTCTCAAAGTTTTTCCGGGCCCCTGACCTCAAAAACTAGAAATAGGGGGCGTCAGCCCAATTCAAACATTTTGTGCGCAGTTGTAGCAACCATTACGCTCTACACATTGCCGAAGTTCAAGCGTGCCACAGTAAAGAGTAAAGTTATGATACATAGTATTTGCAAAACTTAGTTTCCAGCCTAATAATTAACGAAGAGGATAGATCTGATTAAAAATTGGAGATTCTTTTGAGTTGATAAATGATTTCGGCGACACATCCTGGTCACCTGGCTATCAGATCCATACACCATTCCAGTATTTTGAATGGGATTAATCATCAAAGGGCCAAGCGCGACGGTAGCAAGGCCTAATTAGACCTATCATTTTCGACGCCCAAGGGGAGGCTAAAAATCAGTCTTGTACGGAATCTCCCAACGTGCAAGTGTAGCGGGGATGTGTGCTTTAACTCAATGTGCACTTCAAACGGCTAATATAGCCGCACCTCAAAACCTCCGAACGAGCACAAGCGGTTAGGCGGAGGTAGATTTCAGTTGATGATTCAGCGGCAAATGATTCAAGGTAGTCGCTTCGACTGAAAGCGATTGATGTGTACATGCATAAGAGTGATAAGAGTGGAACACGAGAAACATCGAAAGTTATCAGCAAATATGTTATTTATTCGTTGAGATATGACACGCTTGTAAGCCGTCCTTCCAGCTTCTTTCAAAATTTTAAATCACTCCTGAGAGTGATCAAATTTATATTCCAGTTATACAAACTTTGTAGACCACCAACAGATAAGCGGTCCAGATAAAATCCAATAGCTGCTTTTCCTTTTTCTGGTTTTCTGCTTTTCTTTGCCCGTGCAGAATTTGCAAATAAAAACGCTGTGGCTCACAAATCTACCCGATTACTCACTATATTCTGTTTGGAATAAGGTATAATATTGATCGACTTTCTGGATTTCCGCACCTTTGAGTTTTTTAGATGATTGTGCAATAAAAATGCGATCTTTTTGAACCCATACCTTTTGAAAAATCACTTTGAAATTATGAATGTCCAGCTAAGAATGCGAAGTGTTGTGTTGCAGGAGCTTTGCCGTTCCACGAAACATTGCTTTCAAAAACCTGGAATAATTTTTATAAACTCAATAACGAGATAAACTTGATAAAATGAACTTACAAAGCATCCAGTCTAAAGATAAATTTCTTGCCCTACATAAGGCCGTATTCCTATAAGAATGACCGGAAAGTAATGGAACACTTCAGAATAGGTCGTTTCATAAATTGTGGAGATTTTAGCAGATTCTTGATGAAGCGGTTGGTTTACGTCAAAGTGCCTGTACCATCCGCAAGAGCCAATCTTGCTCTACAAATACAGGGTTGGGGGGGAAGTTCTTGAACAATTTTTGATGCCCTTGTATGTTCGGATTTTCCACATATTTTTGTATGCTCTAATATGTATTTGCTTCTTATACTAAAACTGGACTATTAGCTTTCGGAGATATGCCTTCTGAAATGGAGCGAGCGTTGGTGGCGAAGATGCACGAGGAGAGGATGGCTGACCAGCAAAGTGCCGAGTTCCCCAAATTTCACAGATCAGCGTCTTTTCCACCTTGCGTCATTCCCTGGATATGAACAGCAACTTGGACTGTTGTAGGAGTGGTAGATAGCTAATGCGGACACTTGCAAAAATCTGAAGATCGTTCGACAGCTGCATCATCGCAATCCTTGACGAAGCTTGATTGAGCTGTCTTCAGTGTGTTCATCTCTAGCAGGGCAGTCTCCAACATCGTGGAAGAGTACCTTGCGATGAAGCTTTTCAGGATGCTAAAATTGCGTGCTTTTTGGGAGAACACGAAGCTAATTAACTGCGCAGATGCCATCGACTCTGGAACGTCTTTCCAAGGAACGCCACCAAACAATGCTCTTTTCTGACCTCAAAATTTTCACCGTGAAGGATGTTTTTGATCGCCAAACAACAGAATCATCACCTAATCGCCCTCAGAAGTCCATAGCAAGGATTGACTCGCAGAAGGAAAGCTTCATCCGGCTTCTGTAATGGGTTGCGCGGCGATCGCTTCTGACACCTAGATGCTGCCGGTTTCTGTGTCCCAGACATCAAGGTGGACACTGCTGCGCTTGTCGATAGCATCCTGAAGAAGGGATGGTTGGCCTGGACCAATACCCATTTTGCCAGAAGCGATTAGTGTTCCGGCAGAATAGCGCACCTGCACACAAAGCGAAGGTTGTTCAAGCAGGGCTCCAAAGCAACATCAAGGAGTTCATTACTCCTGCGGAATGGCCTCCGTATTGGCCGGATCCGAATACCCTTGACTACAGCGTATGGCCAGTTCTTTAGGCCAAAGCCTGCGCTCAACCACGCAAGATTGTGGAGTCTCTGCGACTTGCTGTTCAGAATGCGTGGGAAAAAAACGACGTAAAGCACATCCGTCCCACGGACAGCGTTTTCAAGCATTTCCGAGCTTGTGTTCGCGTCAAAGGAGGAATTTTCGAGTTGCAATTTTGTATCAGACAGTTAAGTAAGCGTTATTTATGGATTTCATATAATCGTCTTGCCTAGCTTCATTTTTACGTCAAAAATACCGTGTTCAAGGACTTTCCCCCAACCCTGTGTTATCGTTCGTTTTCAGAGCGAACCTGGATCCCTTTGTTTTATGACATCTAAGAGCAAGAGCAAGTATTTGAGAGGCAAAAATTAGCGATTTGGAAAACGACCAAAAACGGAAACTTCACAAACATATGACCTTATTATTGCATCTCTCGAGAGAGAGAGAATTTGCCAAATGCTAAAGTTTCAATGTGTTAGAACATATCATTCTCGTTCAACTGAAACTTATATAAGGCCATTCGCATGTGCAGTAATTTTTACGACTGCTCCGCAAGTTAACTACTTCAAGAAATTATAAACTTTGAGCGGTACCTGTGAAACATCTGAGGCCATCCAAAGGAACAGCGCCGAGGTGAAGGATTGTCACCAAACCGCCACAGTTCTGCATTTTATATAGTCAGTCATAAGCAGTTCCCGGTGAGGGAATACTTGCCAGCCATTTCTTTGAAAGTGGACTCACACTTAC